GGAACGGATTAACCGGTTTCCAATGCATTCCTATGGGAAATGGTGTTTCGCATAGCGATGGTTTCACATAGCGATGTGTTTTTTGGAACCAATTAACATCGCTATGCGAGGCACCACTATATTCCAGCTTTGCTCTGGACCACCAGTCTATATAGATATTCTGTGACTCTAGCTCTTCTTTAGACATTCACCATCCTTTTTTAATAAATCTTGGTATCTTAAAAGTTTTGCTTTTGTCATAAAATTAGGTTGTGTAAAGGCCTCTATAGGTGACACCCATACCGGTGTTTTACAGTAAATTTGTTGTATAATCTTCCTCCACATTCCCAATAGAGCTTTTCTTATCATATGTAAATTGAAGTGCTTTTGCTCTTTATCTTTTTTATACCATAGGTAAGCATGCCAGCCTAATTGTAAATCGTGCCCTTCCAAGTTGAGTAATCTATCATTTTCCAGATTTGTCCATTCTTTTATCCAATCTAAAATACAGGATCTATAATACAGGACCCAATCTGGAAGACCAAAGCCACCCCTCTGTTTAGCATCTTGCATTGCCTTAATTTTAATTCTTGTTTTTTTACCTTGCCATATAAATCTCATGATGATCTTATTAAATTCTTGGAAGAAGGACTGTTTTAATATGATAGGAATTGACGCAAAAGGGTAAACTTAGTTTTAATAGAACCACGTTGTAATAGCTTCAGGGTAAGGTTGAAAGAGAATAAAAAGAAAGTAAAAATAGATAGATTTCCTTTGTTTCAGAGTAAGGAATCCATAATATCCATAATTTTGCTCGTGACTGATCAGAGATATTTAGCAGGAGAACCAACAAAAACTGTAGCCATGCCTCTTGCAAATCTGGACAGCTATAGCAGAAGCTACTTTAACAAACTGCAAAGAAGGACTAATTGGTAACACCTCCCCTCCCACTCCTGTGTGATCAGCTAAAGTAAATTTACCTGGGGAAACTTGGCTTCCCAGCTGTGAATTCACAGCAGGTACATGCTAACCTTTCCCTGGTCATAGCCATAGTTAATACAGGTTCTGCTGATTTCTGGGAAGCTTTAGCTACAAAGCCTTCAGTGAGAAAGAGAAGGAAAAACCAACAGATGTCTAGAAAAAATAAAACTGAAATGGGAAGACTGTCTTAAAGCCACATATGCATATATTACAACTAGACATGGGATACAGTATTTGTATTCATATTCCGAGGGATACAAATATGACTGACTATCACCAGCAGAGGTGCTAGTGGAAACTGAACCCTCCCCCCAAAACCCACCGGTCCACTTAGGGCTCTCCATGCAATACACATGGCCATCAGCAGTCATATAGTGCCAATTGCAGAAGTAGCCTAGCTGGCACTTCCCTGCCTCCCCACACAGCAGCTGACCAAGGAGACTTGTCATCCTGCCTTCGTGCCAGAGTGGTCAGCTATGTGAAGAGGCAAGGAAGTGCCAGCCAGGCTACTTCTGCAGTTGGCACTATGCAACTTAAGATGGCTGTGCACACTGTACGGAGAGCGGCAAGTGGACTGGTGGGTCCAGAGGGAGGGTTTAGTTTTCACTGGCACCTATGGTGCCAATATTCGTATTTGTATCCCTTGGAAATGAACATCCCATGTCTAATCACAACTCATCCATTATGTGACATCAAATTGGAACTGACTTGTAGGGACCCTAAAAGGACTTTCAAGGTAGGTGAGATATTTAATGAGCAGTTTTGGTTTTGGCACTTATATACTGCCCATTTAATGGCAAGCCAATACTCTGAGTGGCTTGCAACAATTAAAACCCCACCATATCCAAATAAACAAATAAAATAACAATAACAAAAAAACCAGAGGCAAGAGCAACAAAATAATGGAGGAGAGTTCTTAAAGGCCTCCTTGAAGAGTGCCGTTTTAACCTGTCTCTTGAAGGACAGGAGGGAGGATGTCTGGCACACATCCACAGGCAATCCATTCCACAACATTGTGGCCACCACCAAAAAAGGCCCAGTTCCTCGAGGTCATTTTCTGGGCCTACCTTGGGGTGTCCATCCACAATAGCAATGTCTGGATAATGATCTTTAAGAGAGACACTCCAACTGGTTGCTATTGATTTGTGAGAAATGTAAAATATTTCAGTATTAGTAATGGATTAGTAATTTCAGTATTAGTAATGAGACTATCTGCTGGAGCATTTTGTATCAGTATGCTTGAGATGTAACAGTTATTTGAAATCAACATCTGTTTAATATTTGTTTGAAATATATATGAACCCTATGGAGTTGGAACATACAGATGAAATAGAAAAATCTGGCAATTTGACAGTTCTGACAAAAATTGTGTTCATTCAGTGTCTGGACTTTTGAGAGCAAGATATATTTAATGTGACTTAAGAAACAACAACCAGGAGGGCCTGGCATGCTCTGGTCCATGGGGTCACGAAAAGTCGGACACGACTAAACGACGACGAAGAAACAACACTAGAAATTTTCACTTATAGATTCTGGATCAGCTTCGCCTGCTTTGTTCCTTCTTCTCTAATTCTCCCTTTTGATTAGTGGACCTTCTACCCAGGTTAGTACTTTACTTAGAATTTTGTTTAGATTATAGACAATGTAAACAT